TCTAGTTAACCTCGAAGCATACCTACTAGAGTAGTCCGTACCCATTTTACGAATTCACCTAGCTTAGACCCTTGTAGATGTTCATACAACCCTAGTTCCTACCGTGGCTCTCTACCAGTTTTCTGTATCTATCTTCTCGGATGTTTCACGAGGCAAATTCTCCTAATCTAGTTAGCCGCCAAGCCAGGTTGGTGTTACTGATCCTCCTTGTGAACTGGATTTATGCACACCTGACTCGATCTGCATCTTTCGTCAATAGTTTCCTTTCTGGATTAAGTGTTAGCCAGTGTGACCGTCGAAAGCCGTACTACTTCACCAACTCGAGATTTCTACTATGCAGGTTCTCTGCCCATAGATCCTATCAAGATTTATTCATATAACGTTATGTCTTGCCAAATGCCTCGTCACACTTCCAATATCCAGATGATATTAGTGCAATGTGATTTACAGGGTTACAACCCCAGAAATGGACAGGGTTTACCGTAAGTTAGGTACAAAGGTCTGGGTAATTATTCAAATTCGTCAATAGTGGGATTTGAACCCCAGACCTCTTGTATGGCAGTCTGGCAACCTAACTACTACACTAAGATCACCAGACCTTCTTATAAGATAATTTATAAAATACAAATAAAGAATAACTAATTAATAAATATAAAATAAAGATAAAAATATTAAAACTTATTTAATAACAATATGTAAAATTTAACAAAAAAATTTTTTATTAAAATATCAAAAATAATTTTATAAATAAATTTTTAAAATATAAGTTTTTTTTAAAAAAAATTTTTCTTTTTATTATATAAAATTAATTTGTATATTATATCTAATTCTACAAATTTATTAGTTAATTTTATACTAGTAATAATTATTATTACTAATAATAATAAATAGAAAATTTATAGATCTAGTGATCTAGTATAGTAGTTAAATTGTTAGATTACTATTTAATAGGTCTGAAGTTCAAATTCTACTATTAATGAATTTGAATATTTATTTAAATCTTATAATATATTATAGTAAACTCTGTTTATTTTTAGAAATATATTCTTGTAAATTGAGTTATATCAAATCGATTTGAAATTAGAAGTATAATATGTATAATATTATATGAAGAAATTTTAATGAGATATATAAGCAGAAGACCTATATAGTAAAAATTCTGAGTAGATGAATTAGTACAACCTTCTTATAAGACTATATTAGTTAAAAGTTTGATCTAAAAAGAAAACTTAGTCTAATAAAAGTAGAAGGTTTCAAGATTACTAAGTAAAGAGTAATCAGAACTAGCTAAATACTAGAAAAAAACTAGGTTAACTGACTAGTAGAAGATTATAGTAAAACTTGAAATTGTACAAATACTACAAGAATCTAAACTAGATGAATTTGCAAAATAGATATATGACTACTCTGATAAGAATTACTTTCAAGGTTAACTAGAGCTCTATATACTTATAATAAATTAAGCAAAATATATTTTAAGAAGACCTAAGTCATATCAGAAAAAGATCTATAGATAAATCAACTAGTTTAAATAATCAAATATAGTAGTAAAATTAATTGAAAATTAGGAATAAGTTAATGATCAAAGTGTAATAATAGATAATTTATAGGCAGGTTGCAGGTATAGCAGCTTAATGTAAAACCAAACAGATAGTCTAATGTCTGTGTGATAGACTACTTAAATTAGATAATAACTAAAGTTGTATATATAACTTGTTATATACTCATTATGTAATTATAAATCTTAGAAGAACCATATATATGACTCTGTAATTGAAATTAACAAAATCTAATCAGCCAAAAAAGCAGCCTTAATAATAATAAAAAATAAATAGAAAATTTTTTAAATTTATATATTTAAATAAGTTTTAAACTAATTTTAATAATTTTACTACTATTAGAATCACAAACCTACTCTACAACTTGGAAGTAAAATAATAATTTTATTAATAAAATTTTTAAAATAAATTTAAACAATAATTATCACTAGTATATAATTGGCTAATAATGATAAAACAAATAAAAATATTTCATTCTATTTACTTTAAGATTAGAGTGAGGCCCGAGACTTTAACATGGTGTTATATATATGCAAATTTTATCAAGAAATTTTCTTGTTAAAACGTCGAAGATGGTTTTATAGATGAATTCTTTGAGATATTAGCATTTTTTTAAAAAAAAATCAATTTGCACATTTAAAATATAAAAATAAGTATCACATAACTTATAATTTTAAATTAGTACCCCCTACTCGCTATAATCTAAAAGAATTTGGTCATTCTTTTAACGTGATTGTGAAATTTTGTTGGTAAAAATCTCGTACGACAACAAAGTATAAGTGATTTATCAAATAAAATCTTTTTGAATATAAAATATAAAATACAAAGTATACTGATTAACTGTTAAAAAATAACCCTCGGGACTATTTAAATCATAGTCCTGAAGAGTTATTTTGTTAGCAAAGACCAAACGATAAAAGCAATACAGGTAAACAAGCAACATTAATTTTCACTTAATTACAAGAATAAATCATTAATTACGTGATCAACTGCGCTTATCACCTATATCGCATTTATATAAATTGTCGTAAACTTTTCATTATCAGTTATAATTTAAGTTGTAGATTATCGTAAACACTTTTAAAAATTTGATATACAACCCAAGCACCAGGATCAGGAACACCAGCATTTTTGATATCATCATAGGAAATATAAGTTGATCTGCCAAAGTTTGGCTTTAAAAATTTGGTAGATTCCGCACTGTTTTTAGCTAAATCTACTGCTGATTTTAAAGCTTTTAAGACGTTATCTTCAGAATTCAAACTGTTTGAAAAAGTGTTGATAGATGGAATTAATACATCCATCATTGTACGGTCACCAATTCTAGCAGGAGTATAATTTTCAAGCGTTGTTAATGCATTCTGTGTAAATAATTATATGGAATTAGATTAGTATTATAACAGATAAAGTATAGTTTATTTCCCCGGCTTTTCCGTGTTCTTAGACCCAGAGAATAAAATCCGAGAAAATAATTTATTATTCTCTCAGAGGAATAAAGGTGTTATTCTCCCGTTTTATTAATGTAGGCCGGAGATTAGATATCTGATATAAAGTTTGGAACTGTCATTTTAAATTGGGCTATCATATGAAAAATAAAATCGGTTCTCAAACTCCCTAATAATCTTAATTATCTCAAAATAATAGTATCCTACAAATGAGTGCGTGAGAATGAAAACCTGGAAACCGATCATAGTAAATCATTAAATCGGTTTCCAGGTTTTCACTCTCACACATTCAAATAGTAAAATGGGAAATAATCATATCTGTATTTGTAAATTATTTACCACTCAATCGTGATAGGCAGTAGCGGTTCTAATGATATCGATGATTTTCGCGGTAAGTAATTATTATACGGTCAGACCTCTTTAAATTCACTCACATTGGACTATAGTCGCAAGCATGTATTGAAAGGGTGTACTTCTAACTTACATATAGAACAATGTGTTTAGAGAATAATGCATGCTCTCATAGAGCATGCATTTAGAGAATGGACAGAACCGGATACTGATATGCTCTACAGAAAACGGACATCCACTGGCCAACACTGCTATAGAGGCTTCTCATCCACCTACCTGACTTATAAGATTTAACCAAACTAGAACCTGATCAGTCTATGATCCTCCATCCTACCCTAAAAAATCATAATCTCTGCCCACTCCCTTAGAGAAGTCTGATTGTTATTGACGCTCGTGACAAAGGAGAATGATATAATGATAGCCAAACAATGATGACTTAATAATATAACTCTCAATAATACAGTAGTGCTGCCAAGAAAAAACCAGTCAAAGTTTTTAATTATCGATATACAGTATTACATATAATTAATTTAATTACGTGGCATACTATATGTCGCTTGTCAGATTTGTTCAAGGGCTGAGTCCGGTAAATTAAAAACTTTGAACTTTAGCTTCCCTTGGCAGCACTCTGATTTTCCCTTGGCGATACTCATATGAAGAGAGTCAATGGAAATGCACAATTTTTTTTTAATTTTAAATTAAATATTTTAGTGATTAGCCAATTTTTATCTAAATTTAAAGGTATTTTACAATTTTTATTTTATAATAAAATTCTAAAAATACTTTTAAATTAGTTTAATAATGATTTTTATATTTTAGAGCATGTGCTTCCCATGAGTTCTGTTGTAACGTGAGACCAAAACAATAATTAATTCGTTAGTTTAGGGTTAGGGTTAGGGTAGGCGTTTTAGCGAATAGAAATATCGCTATTTTTTTCGATTTCACGTTACACCTGATCTTACGATCTGATTGGTTGATCAGATAGGCGCACATGCGCTAAATTACATAAACCTTTAATATTTGAAGTATTTAATTTAAAATTTAAAAAATTTTCAATTATAAACTTCCACTGATATCATGGAACTTTTTCGCAATTAAGAACTACCGTACGGCACTGACTATAGTACCCCCTGCTATAATACCCCTATAAAAAAGACCTGGGTACAATTCATGGGTTTATGTTTCAGAAAATTGAAAAAGACCCGAGTACTATTCTAGTTAGATAGATATAGATTCGAAATCTTTATTAAACAATTTTAAAACTATGTAAAGTACCCCCTTATTATAATACCCTCCCCCGTAATTAGTACCCAGGTGAGTACTATTCAAGAAATTTGATGGTTTATTGAATTGTATCCAGGGTACTATAGTCAGTGCTGTACGGGTACCTGTTCATTATAGAATGTGGACTGTAATGTCACGAGCAAACCAGGTAATATCATAATCATGAAGATATCGTAGAGAAAAAAAAAAATTCAAACCTTTAATGCTTCAGCCCAGCATTTTGCATTAATGAATTTTTTATTATCTTCATTAAGTCGATAATTTGTAGCCAGTCTCAAATTATTCGTAAGTGCGTATAAAAAGATACTAAAAATATATATTTCAAATAAATTAAATAAATAAATAAATAAAAATAATAAAATATTTGTGCAACGGAAATATTTAATCCTTATTTTACCAAAATAGGCAGCCAATTGTCCCTCCTTGTTTTTCTAAAATCTTGCTAATTTGTGCAAATGCTTCAGCAGGATCATGTGTTATAATCTGTCCTTCTCCCAAAGCATTCAAAATATCTAAAGAAAAGTAAAATAGATGAAATCGAAATTGGAACACGTGAAACATATTTAACATGAAACAATTAACTAATAATATAAAATATGTCAACCAATCGCGAAATTCTTCACTGTAGTTCCGCAGTCGCCATCTCCAACAGCTTTATCATATTGAGTAATATCAGGCTCAGCCTGAATAATCGCATTACATACAGACTTCAGAGTTGATTCAAAAAGTTGAGGATCTACTACAAAGAGGAAAAAAAAAAAAAAAAAAACAGAAAACAAATTAACATAACGATACCAAAATTTTCAGATTACGTTTTATCTGACATAACTTACCACATAGAATAGACTGGGGATATTTATTATCAGATTTGTTTATACTTGAAATGGATATATTTTCGTCTAATTTAGTGTCCAAGCTAGAACAATCGAGATACACTCGGTTAATCCAACCTGGAGCTTCCACATGCTGATCCAACATTTGTATTATATCTTGATCTTTTGATAACTTGAGAATAGTCAATGAGAAACCTGGCATGTTGAATGATGTCATAAATGTTCCCGTATATATCCTTGCAATATGGAATTGCTTTTGTTCTATTTTAATAAATAGCATTTTTGGGAAATTGAGATATATTTATTTCAATTATAACTGCATCGCGCAATGAGGAATATTACACCGCTGTCAATTGTTTTAAAAGTCAAACCTAAATATGACGCCGCATCGTAACTACAGCTAAACAATTCACTTGTAGAAAGACCACCGAGATTATTAACAAGTAAAACAATTGAATTTTCTCCAGGATGAATATCTAAGTAAGATCTTTCAGGATCTTCTGTATTTATTATTATATCTAACATTTTGTGAACAAGATCACGAGAAGGTGGAAGTGGAATTTTTTGAAAACCTGGCTCACCGTGAATACCTTTAAACCATAAATAATTGTGAATGTAAATTTCCGGAAAATACATAAAGCATAGATTTTATAATATTAACGACATTTTACAAACCCATTCCTAACTCAATTATGTCTTTGGGTAATGTAGGACCCTGTGATGAACCAGGAATTTTACAATGGTCAAAAGCGACACCAATTGTACCAATATTTTCAGCAACTAAACTAGCCGCTGATTTTGTTTCTTCAAGAGTTCCACTAAAGATTATAATTATTGAAAACCAGACGATTAGCACAATTACTAAACCCTCCACCATATTAAATGCATTAATTATTACCCTGATGCAGCCACAGCTCCCGCAACCTTATGCACCAAAATTGTTCCTGCTAAACCTCGTCGACCAACACTGTTTCTACCAATACTAACGTCATCTTCCACAATGATCGTATCAACCTTTATACCTTCGTTTTTTGCTCGTTCAGCTGCCAAACCAAAGTTTAAACAGTCGCCAGTGTAATTTTTTATAATCAATAATGTACCATGTGGTGATTGAACCCTACGAATCGCGGCTAAAATTGCGGTTACGGAGGGAGAAGCAAAGATATTTCCAGAGACAGCGGCTGAAAGCATTTGAGGTCCAACATATGCAGCCTGGACAAAGTAGGAAACCGAATGGATGAGTCCCATTTATGAATTTAAGGATTAGTTTACGACTAGGAGTAACTGAATTCCAAAATTACATGTGCAGGTTCGTGACCAGCTCCACCTTAAATACAGGACATAAATAAAAAAATTGCATTATCTATTTGATTTACGTATGTTATGAAAAACTTTAACAGTTAATGATTTTACCTCCAGAAATAATGGTAACTTGTTTTTCTCTAATTTCATCAATGTCAGCTCTATAGACGACTGTTAAAGAATTATTATTAATTCCATTATAAACGACTTTATTCTTTAAAGAATTGATCATTCCAATATAAGCATTCTTATTAAGCTTACTTTTTTCTTTCTCAATTAACCTTAAGGATGGATATGTTAAACAAAGCCCTCGAAGTGATTCAACGACAATATTTTCAGACATTTTTAATATCAAAAAAAAAAAAAGATTATCAAAGTTAACTAGTTAACTTCACCCCATATCACTGTGTAGCATATGTAGAATCTGTGCTCGATTGTGTTACATTTACTGCAATTATACAATTTCAAATTAATATACATACGTATATATTACAGTAAATGAACAGCGTATAACAATAAAACATTACAATATGTTCGACTATATCGATTAAAGTAAATACGAACATAATACAGTATAAAACCAAATACGCGACCATAAGTTATAACTTTATAGTGTTTAAGCCTTTACTGCATCCTTAGATGTTAGAATGCATTTTTGTAAATCAGACTGTTTGCAAATTAGGTTTAATAAAATAGTTGCGAATCGATTAGTTGACTAATCGATTAATTAATTGAAAAATCAATTAGTCATTCAATTTCGTTGTAATTTCAATTTAATATTTGGGTTGGTACACAGCAAAACCATGCTTAGAAAGTTTTTAACCGAAATTGAGATTTTTATTGAGTTATATTTCCAAGTGCGTGATTTATTCGTGGTAAAATTTTTATTGCACATTAACATATTACGATTTAGCACAATATCATGCGCAGTTTTTTATTTAATCCGGTTTATACATTCTAAATTTAGATTAACGGTTATTGATAACAATGGAACTTGATTTTAAGGAAGTAACATCCAGTGTTTAAAATTCGGCACAAAAAAATTAGTGCATAAAAAAGATCTACAATGCAGGCACAAAGTTCTGCGGCATCTAATTATTTTTCTAACAAACTAACCTTTTATATACAGAAATACCGGTAAATTAACGGAAAAAATATCATAATAATCGAAGATAAATAAAACAAAGATCATAATAATCGAAGATAAAAAAAAAAAAATAAAGAACATAATAATCGAAGGTAGATTAAAAAGGATAAACTATAATAATCTGTAAATAAAAATAAAAAATATAGATCATAATAATTATAACGATGATGTAGTATAAAGAAATAAAGAAGTTATAATAACTATAATTTTTATAAATGTGAATTAAAAATTTTGTAATTTGTAATTTGTAACTTAAACATGAATTATAATAAACGTCAGATCATTAAAGAGCCAAATTCTCGAGAACTAGATAAAAAAAAATCACGAAATTTAGAACCTTCTTCAGCTTGGTTGAAAGAATGGGAATGGTTGGAGTACTGTGAAATCGATGAAACTTTATTAATGTTTTGTAAATAGTGTAAGGAGGCAAAATATGATAATATATTTACTTGAAGGACTGACATTTTTAAAAGAGATATTGTTAAATAGCAAGAAGAAAAAGATCAAAAACATCAAAAAGCAAAACAACAATTCACACCTATATTACCAAACCAGCTATTTGAGAATGATCGTAAAATTATTCAGCAAATAAAATGTGTTTATTTTGCTGCAAAAAAACATCTTTTATTTAATGTATATCCCGATCTTTGTAGTTTAATTAGTAGTAATAATATCTTTTTAACATCTCAACCACTTAAATTTCCATCACAAGAATTAGTTGAAGTTAAAAATTATAGTTCTTATTTAAATTCTGTTGCAACTCAGAACTTTGCTGAAGCAATTGTGCATGTAATCGAAACAAGTCTTATTAATGAAATTAAGTTGTCAGTTAATTAGAGTATAATGATCGATAAAAGTACTTCAATAAATAAAAAGTATCTTGTTATCATTTCTCAACATATAGCATTTAATATACCTATTATTCGTTATTTAGAATTAATTAAATTAGAGGATTGTAAAAGTGAAAGTATTATGGAAGCATTAGAAACATTTATAATTAAAAAGAATTTATGTATTATGAATATTTCATATTTTAGTAGTGATGAAGCTTCAATGATGACAGATAAATATATATATATTTTTTTTTATTGTTAAGGCGGCTTATATTGCTGAAAGAATTTTATTAGAATTGTCAACGGGATTATACATTGATAATCCCTACTGTTTGTAATTACATGAAGAGTATACAACAAGCCACACTACAATTTTAGTTATTATCTATTTTAAGTAGTCCACTGCACAGGCATTAGGCTACCCAATTGGTTCTACACTATGCTGCTATACTTATAACTTGCCTATGAGTTACCTATTTAAACACTCTGTTCATTAACTCATACTGATCCAATCTAACGTTACTGCAATACCTAACCACTTAAGCTAGCTAGCTCGTTACAGATCTATTTATCCAAACAGCTTAGGTTCTATTAGGATACATTATACCAGACGCATCGCTAATACCGCAAAGCTAGTTAACCTCGAAGCAAACCTACTAGAGTAGTCCATATCTATTTTACGAATTCACTTAGCTTAGACCTTTGTAGATGTTCATACAACCCCAAGTTTTACCATAGTCTTCTACTAGTCAGTCGACCTAGTCTTTTTCCAGTATCCAGCTAGTCTCAGTTATTCTTCGCCCAGAGACCTTAAAACTTTCTACTTTTATTAGACTGAGTTTTCTTCTCAGATTAGACTTTAGCTGATATAGTTCTGTTAGAAGGCCATACTACTTCACTGACTCGAGATTTCTACTATGCAGGTCCCCTGCTTATATATTCTATCAAGATTTATTAGTATAATATTATACTACACTTCCAAGTTCCAATCGATTTGGTATAATTCAATTTACAGGGGTATACACCCAGAAATGGACAGAGTTTACTGTAACATATCACAAGATCTGAGAAATTATTAAATTTGTCGACAGTAGGATTTGAACCCCAGACCTATTGCATGGCGGTCTAACAACCTAACCACTATCCCTTAAATTGTAGAGGGATGCAGGCAAATTTGCCTGCATAATTGCCTAAATATAGTAATGATTTATATTTTTAAAGATTTAAA